TTAAATACTGCCAGATCATCAGTTCAGAGCCCAAAGGAGGCATTCATAATCCAAAAAAAAAAATCAATCACTACAGTTTTCCAGTGGTTGCAGGCATCGGTGGCTTGTAGTGGTTGCGTTGTGAGGCGCCTGAAAAGCAGCTCACCTGTAGACATCAGTTGCAGTGGTGGCCTTGGACGTGCGTGAGTAGATGGGATCCACATAGCCCGGTGTCCCCATCACCCGAGTCGTGCGGACAGCGGTTCCCTCTCCCGCCTTTAACAGTCCAAAGTCAGCGATCTTGGCCTGTCGGAAGGTATAATTATCGAAAGAGGGACAAACAAGCATGACTGAGGAAAAAATTATCAAGGACTTAACAATGGTGATGACTTATTTTGTAGAGCTGATCACCACTGAAAACAAATATAGAGCTGTACGTGCAATTCTTAGTTCCTTCATCTTTCTCTCATTTATATAGGGTTTTTTCTTCTCTTTCAGTATCCCGAGCTTCATCCAGATGAAGTATTATACGAACATAGCACCTATGGTGGACTAGCGAAATGCTGCCACACTTTTATCAAGTCAATGTTCACCCGTAGTGTAGTTGGAACGCATGCATCAATCTGCGTATTTAGAACATGTGTAAATAGTAATACCGTATTTATTTCTTAATTTGAATTCATCATTTAAATAATTTGTGTTTGTTTCTGTTTCATTGACATCTTCCACATGACAACTTCACTATGTTCGCCTCAACGCTCTTGCTTGCCTGCATTTTATCCCCCAGCAGGATGTTGGCGGGTTTGATGTCGCGATGCACAAGGCCAAAGCTGTGGAGGTACTCAAAGCCACGTGCCGCACCAATGAGGATGTCCAGCCGCTGCTGGAAGGTGAGAGTGAAGGACGCCTCTGCACACAAGAAGAGAGTGACAGGACATGAGGGAGGCAAATGAGGATGTCCAGCCGCTCCTGGAAAGAGAGAGTGAAGGACGCCTCTGCACACATGCAGAGAACGAGAGAATCGCGGAAGGAACATGAGAGAACAAGAGAGTGAGAGACATGAGTGACTAACGCTGGGAGACGCGGGGAGGTGATCAATACGTGACATAGTATGCGCATAACCTTCTTGTTATGCTAGTACTAGAAAAGGTCACCATCGGTATGTTCAAAATAGAGTGTAATCATGAGATTTAGAATGGTTGCAGATGAATACGTGGTGCGTACCCTTCTTGATATAGTGGTCAAGGTCACCGTTGGAAACAAACTCGTAGATCAAGATCTGCTCTGGACGTGTCCTCATGTCCCCTCCAATAGCAAACCCAAGCAGCCGCACGATGTTGGGATGGTTCTTGTCGGCCATTTGCTGGACCTGCGAGAATAAAAAGGCAGTAATTAAATGGAGAAAGGGAAATTTGGACAGCAGTCAGCATGGGATGAATCAAACGAGAAACATGGCATGGCACGCTGGATTGGAACCGTCATGCCAAGGCGGAATGACATAGAAGCCGCCTTGAAAGGAGTGCCATGGTAGAATAGAATGCAACGAGAAGCACAGCCAAAGAGGAGAAGTTTCTAAATCAATAGCAGTTCGCCCCAAACTCAAAGTGGAAAATAAAAGGCCCATTTACGGCAATCATATAGCTCCTCTTGACGGCCCACAGGGTGGTATCATCGTGCAGAGACACGCCCTTGTACACCACACCAAAGGCTCCGGAACGTATTATTGGGGAACCTCAAGAATAGGAACAAGAAGACTCATTCGGACCCACCTCTTTGTGAAATTCCACGTCAATCAGTTTGGCTCGCTTGACAGCCCACAGGGTGACGCCATCATCTGGAAACACGCCCTTGTACACGTCACCAAAGGCACCCGAGCCAAGCTGGTTGTCAGAGGACCAGTTGTTGGTGGCTTTGAGGACTTCGTCAAGAGAGTACTCGGTGCATTGAGCTCCCGACATGCTGCGAGCTCGGCCTGTAAAGGTGCGGATGGAAGGGGTGAGGAGTGGTGGTGAGGGGCGCAAGGCAACCCAGCCAAGCTGGTTGCCCGAGGACCAGTTGTTGGTGGCTGTGAGCACTTCTTCAAGAGAGTACTCGGTGCATTGAGCTCCCGACATGCTGCAAGCTCGTCCTGTGACAGTGTGGGGTGAAGAAAAAGGGGTGACGGGAGCCCGATTTTTGAGGTGTTTTGAAAATATCAGCCCGAACCACCCTTGCCCATTGCCTGGTTGAGAACAGGCAAGTCCAAGCGAGAAAGCGAGAGAGAGAAAAAGAGAGAGGGAGAGAGAGAGAGAGAAAGAGAGAGAGAGAGAGAAGGGCCTAAGGAGGAGGAACAATGGATGAAGAAGAGAAGACATGTTTCCAGACTCCCAGGTCCCTCCCCTGACTTCTAAGGCTTCAAATCCAGGGTTTCGGGTTTAGGGTGTATGGACGGGACGCCCTACTTGCTGCACGTGCTGCTCGCTTCTTGTGACCTCTCCACCACCACAGCAGCGTGCCAATGATCAGCAGCATCACAGCAGCCACAGCAATGCCGGCAATGGCTCCCACAGAGAGACCGCCTCCCGACTGCGAGGGAGGCGCTTCGGGTGAGAGGGGGGGACTGAAAGAGGAGGAGGATGGGCCCGTTGTGTTGGGCACTGTAGGTGGGGAGATAGACGCTGGAGAAGGGGGTGGTCGACGTGGGGATGGGGGTGCTGGAGGTGGGGAGGGGGGTGCTGGACGTGGGGAAGGGAGGGGCGGGGTTGGGGGAATATGTGTAGGTAAGGAGGAAAAGCATTCTGTCATAATCTGCAAGGTTCAAAATACGGTCCGTTTTTTACGGTGGAATTCGGGCGTTTTTTGTTAGAGAACTCTGGTCACCAGAAAAAAAAACGGAAAAACAAGGTCAAACACAATGTCAATCATGCCAACAAGCGCACACATGCAAGAAGGGGCCCGTCCCCTTCATCCTGCTGAAATTCCATAAAGTGGCCAATTCGTTAATCGAACTGAAAACACCTCCTGGAACTGTTTTAAACGGTCAATTTTTACAGTACCGTTTTTTACGGTAATTAATTAAAAAAAATGTCGTTTTTTTTTTACCCTGATCTGTAATGATTTATCATATATAGACGCACTACAACGACAAATGTACATGCGTATGTGTATATTTACAAATGTATGGTGAGGTTGCGCGTAAATTGGCAAGCACGCCAAAGATGATGTATGGTGGCGGTGGTGGGAAGGGTTGTGGGTGGGTGCGTGTGTGCATACTTGTGGATGTGCGTGCCTCTGTGTGTGTGTGTGCCTCTGCGTGTGTGCTGTGCATGTGCGTGCGTGTTTTCCCGTTTTGTTATTGCTCACGTGGTGCTGGCTTGATGCAAGTAGTGCAGAAGGAAGGGCACTGGATGCAAAAAGCGGTTTGAGAAGACTGCTGAACCACACATGGGGTCTTGTTAGGCGGGCACGTGACACGAGTTTCAGTCAGATTCCTGGAAGTGTGGAAAGGAGGTTCAAAAGCGGACCATTTCAGAACACGGAAAAAGGTTTGGGGGGAACGAGGGGGTTCTTCAGAATAAACATCGGCAAGAAATCATGTGTGGTGCTCCTTAGAATAGAAGCTCCAGCAGATGTGCTTCACATGATTGGTTTACGGCAACTGAGGGAAAGCAGAACTGAGTGTGTCGGTGATTCCGGAGTGCCTTACAGTTCTTTGATTTTGGCAAGCCTGCCCAGTGTCGGAGGGAACGTGAGGTCCCAGGGATCCTCACTCATGGGGAAGAGCAGCACTAGTGTGTTACAATTCTAACAACTGAGTGCCTTACAATTCTTACAACTGAGTGTCTTACAATTCTTTGAGTTTGGCAAGCCTGCCCAGTGTCGCAGGGAGGGGTCCGCTCAGACTGGATTTTCGCACATTCCTGGATAGGGAGCAATGTTTGTTGAGCATAGTAGCATACGTAGGCTTGTCTCAAACCATTGTCGGGCATTCTTGCGTCAAACGGGATTAAACCTTCAAACCAGGTCAATCCGTAGCTCAAGTTGTCATTTGAGATCGAGGTTCAAAGTTCAAAATCGAGTTGCCGCATGGCACACGCCATGGCCGCATAATGCATGTCACAGCCTCATACCTCATGGCACAGCCTCAAAACCTAAGTAATAGCCCAAGAGATCATGCCATAGCCTCAATCAAACTTATGACATGGTCACAAAATAGGTACAGTTCTTCATGCGGTGGTTCAGTTCATATGGCACTCATAGGGCAAAGAGCGCAAGCAAGGCGCATTTGCTGTGTTTACAGCTCTGGTTGCTTACAAGGTCGTGAGCTGCAAGAGGTTGCCTTCTGAGGCGCCTCAAAAGTCATCAAAGCAGAGTTTATGAAAAGCCACCGGGAAAGCTGGCCTTTGAGGCGCCTCAGAAGCTGTCCTTACAGCTCTGATTGCTTACAAGATTGTGAGCTGCAAGAGGTTGCCAATGGATTCTGGGATGCTGCCAGTGAGGTTGTTGGGACCAAGGTACCTGGTGAGGTGAGGGGGACAGCAGCAGGAAAAGTCTTACAAGAAAGGCGCTGTGAATAATCCACCGCAGGGAGGTGTGGTGGGTGGGTGGGACGGAGGGTGGCGGCAGGGGAAGCACGGGGCAGGCTGTCAAGAGCAAGGTACCTGGTGATCTGAGGGTACAGCAACAGGGAATTTCTTGAAATTGAATGAGACAAGTTTTTACGAGAAAGTTGCTGTGACGAATCTATCACTGGAACATTGTTCTAGCAGGATCATTACAGACACAGGCTAGAAAAGAATCACTTCATCACATATACGCATACACACATGCACGCACAGAGTAAAGAAATAGTCTGTGTGACCATTTCAATGTCTTGAAATGGATTTTTACGCGATTGACTACCGGGAAGAGCAAGCAATTGCTATGAAATGATTGATCGCACATTATCATAATTACACAATAGAAAGCAGTCATGTATGCAGATGTCATCATGAGGCTCACAAAAAAAAGACACTCGCCGTTCGTCCAATTAGAAGACTTACAAGCCATTCAGGAATAGAAGGGTGCCTATTTTTGCAGGTATGGAGCCCGTCAGTTCGTTTCTCCATAGCAATCTGTAACGGGGATGTAAAAAAACGGAAGAATGACCAGAACAAAGGTGCTTCCTTAGCATCAGTCCGACTGAGATGCCTCAAGACGGCGTTGCATGCAAGAGCCTGAAACTCGTGGAAGAACATGATGTTCCCAGTCCCAGGTGTTTGGGAACTTTTGAGATGTTTCAAAGAAAGAACATGTTCCAAGTCCCAGGGGTTTGGGAACTTTTGAGACGTCTCAAAGAAAGAACATGTTCCCAGAATCCCAGTCCCACTAGATAATTTTTAGACGCCAGTCCCATCCAATCCCAGCTGTGCGTTGCATATAAATCCCATTCTTTCTGTGCCTCTTCTTCTACTTGGTTTGCATGGGCAGACATTAGTAGTAGGGGCAATAGTTTTAGGATGGCTGGGTAAGAGGAGTGGATAGAGGGTGTTCACAATAGCAGTGCAGAGGACCTCCCAAGTGCTTTCTTTGGAGAGGAGGCATTCAAGACCGAGCGCTGCTAAAGCACATTTGCAAATCCTGGAAGCATGGACATTGAGCCGGCAACATCAACTTTTGAGGAATCTCAACAATCAACTCCAGGAGCGAACAATAATGTAACATCATTAATGTTCCTCCTGCCTCTCAAGTGAAACTACAGGGTAATGCACTCACAAGCTGTTTATGTTTGGTTTGAGACGCCTCAAAATACACCTCAATAATGCTCCTCCTGCCTCTCAAGTGAGACCAAGGGGTAACGAACTCACAAGTTGTTGAGGTCTGTGAGCTTGAAGAGAGATTCAGGAATGGTGCCGGTTAAGTTGTTGTAGCCAAGCTGTCTGCCTCACATTCAGTGGATGGTGGTAGGAAAAGGACGGAAGGCGCGCGTGTGGTGAGACGAATGATTGTTGTGTATACACTATTAGAATGGACATTATGGCAAGGGTCGACGGATACATAGAATATATATATATATATCAAAAGTGACACAGCACAAGCATTGGATTAGACAAGATGGGAAGGGGGCAACATTTCCTAAATCCAACACCGGTATTAAGACCGTGCTTACATTTCAACTCTTTCCTGCATGTCACTCACCTGTGCACGCCTAGATTTAACTTCATCACTACCTTATTCAACTACTTTGTTTGGCAAATGTTTTCAGTGGAGTTTAGGGAATCTACTGGTGATTAACTAACCAATCGGTCGTACGGATCCACACTAACGTGGCAGCATGCATGCATCACGTCTTCTGCTTGGGCACAATTGCAGGAATAACAGACACAATCGTAGCTGATTTGTTTCAATGTTGCAGGTGGGTGGGTGTGTGGGGGGGTCTATGCATTTATGCAGGAGTCATTAATGCAGGAGTCATTTATGCAGGATTCATTAATGCAGGAGTTATTTATGCAGGGATCATCTATGCAGGAGCCATGTATGCAAGAGCCATCTAGCCCGTCTCATTGAGAAGCTCACAGGGTTGTCAGCGCTGCAAGGCTGCCTATTTTTGAAGAGATTGAGCCAGTTAATCTGTTTCCAAGGAGACTGCTGCAGTTTGTGGAAACAAAAGGTGCAACAAGGAGAGTAAAAGACAGGTTTCAGTTGCAAGCATCAGTATGAAAATACAGGATGAAGAGGAAGTCAAAACTGCATTTAAAACAAAACATGGTCATCTCAAGGCGAGCAGAGGTGCATGCTGAGATGAACCCCATACTTTCAACAATGCCTTCTGGGGCATCCAGAAATTGCTGAAATGCAAGTGCCTGGTTCGGCTACGGCTCACCTGGCTGGGAAGCAAAGAAGGACTGCGCTGCACTGCACTTACAGCGTGCTGAGTTTCGTGAGATTGAAGAGCGACTCAGGAATTGAGCCGGACAAAATGTTGAAGAAAAGGAGTCTGCAAATGAAAGAAATGGAGGGCACACAAGTGTCGAGTGGAGAGACACCATACTCCACTGCACAGCACGTGTATGTACGTGGAGTGTGATGTGCTCCGAGTATGTCCCAATGAGTAGTTCCTCACCTCTAGTCCAAGATATTGAGAGTTCAACTCCCATCATCTGCACTTTCCCCCTTCACATTATGCTCACCATGACATGTCCATACTCCACCACACTTATCGACAACAAAGTGTGGTCAGTGTGGTCACAGTTGGCATTGCCCCCTGTCCACTCATCCCATGCTCACCTTGGTGGCCCCTATGGTATGCCATATGCTGTCATGGAGGCTGCTGTTCCAGCCTAGCCCACATGTGCAACTAGGGATGAGCAAGGTGGCGAACACCTGTTCGGTTCGCCTCGAACACGTTCGAGGCGAACCGAACAGGTTTTGTTTTTTAGCTCAAATCGTTCGCCGAACAGTGTTCGATGCTGCTGAAATTTGCCCGCGACGAACACGAACGTGTTCGAGGTTCGCCCGAACACGCCTCCACAGGCGAACAGCGAACACCTGTTTTTTCCTAAACTGTTCGCCGAACCGAACACTGTTCGGTTCGGCAAAAGAGGGTGTTCGACAAGGGGCGAAGACGAACATGTTCGTGTTCGCCCTTTGCTCATCCCTATGTGCAACATGGGGCCTCACTTCCTAACTGATCAAGGTTGGCTAGCCTTGCCCTCAACTTTGAGGTGCTGCAGCTAGCCTCAAGAGTTTAACCATATGTACATGATTCACCATTTCCTTAAAACTTATCCAAACTCGCTTTTTTGGGCAGCCCGGCGCGGCCCGACCTGGGCCGGGCTCAACCTAATTGCAGTTGGTCTGAGCAAATGTGTGTCCCGTCCATGTGTGTGCATGTGTGTGGTGTGCATGTGCGTGCGTTTGTTGAGGGCATGTGAACCAGAGGGATAGTGCGGCTTAGGGATGAGCAAAAGGAGAACACGAACATGTGCATCTAACCTTGCCTCGAACACTCGTGTTTGGCGAACCGAACATGTTTGTGTTCGGCCGAACACAAACCGTTGAAGGAGGTGTTTGGTTGGTGTTCACCAAAATCCGAGCACGAACATGTTTGGGGCGAACATGTTTATGTTTGCCTGTAGGAAGCCTTCATTACAGTAACAGGGTTGAAGGATGGTGGATTTTGGCGTCCAGGGTGGTGTGGCTATACATGGTGGACGTTTGGGAGTGAAGGAAATGAAACGCCAAAGAGTGGAGTTTGGTTCCGCCAAACATTTTTTTTAGGGTCTACATATGCTAGCTGCTGGAGCTTGTAGTCTAGGCTGTCGGAGGGGAGGTAGGCAAAAGTCGAGCTAAAAAATGAGCTCGACTAGTGTGTCCTGTCGACTTAGACAAAGGGCCGAGGGACTTTTCTGACAAACACAAGGGATGTCAAACACGAACGTGTTTGTGTTCGGCACGGCTCGGCTAGCTGCGGCAAACCGAAAACGATCACGTTCGGGCAAACACAAACATGTTCGCCCCAAACATTTTGTTCCAAAAAAATATGAGTGTTCAAGGCGAAATGAACAGGTCTTCGCCATTGTGCTCATGTCTAGTAGGGTTGCTGTGAGCCTTAGGAGCAATAAAAACGGAAGGTGCCCTGTTTAGTCCACCAAGTCAAGAGGTTCACAACAAGTCAAGAGACTCACAGATCTCCAAGATTTGAAAGTTTGCCTAGTGAGGCTGGTATCGAGCCAGTGAGGTTGTTCCCATGTAGGTATCTGCTTTCCATGGGAGAAAAGTGTGATGAGCGGAGTAGACACCATAACAGCGAATTTAAGGGGTCACAGTGAATGGGTGAAGGAGAGGCATGTGAGGGCGTCAGTGGTGGCACTTGTTCAACACAGAGGGACGCGTACCGTGCGGCGCACTCAAGAAGACTGGCAAGTTGGAAATGACTTACTTGAAAGGGTGAGGGAATGAGCATGAGGAGTGGATGTGATGTAGGTCCCATGGCATGTGGTATGGATGTCACGTCACATGGCATGTGGTGATATTGTTCTGCAGGTCGCGTCAGTCCCATGTGGTGTGGATGTGATATGGCTCACATGTCGACCCAAAAACAGCAGCGCTGCTCACAGGTGGGAAAGCTTTTGGAGGTTGCCAAGAAAGGCAGGAATGGTGCCTGTCAAGTCGTTGTAGCCAAGGTTCCTGGTGGGACCGAGAGAAACGAGTGCCATGCGGGCGGGGAGTGCCCAGGCCATGCATAATGATGAGATGAACACGCAAGCATGCACAAGACATGCATGCACTAGCCACTAGGCATGCACAAGCATCGAAAGGCCTGCATAAGGTATGCATATGCATAAGGTATGCCTACATGCACAACGAGAGAAGAGTGACACAGTGTTTTATGGTCGCCCATAGTCTCTCATGGTCGCTCACGGTAGCTTTAGGCGGTTAAGCTTCATTGCCTCCTCACTCACTCAGAAACACTTGCACCGAAGGATATGACAAGTAGAGGGATTCAAGATGAATCCCAGTAGGGTTCGAAGGTCAACTAGACAGATGAGTGTACTGGAAACATCGCTGTGGAAGGACAAGGGCAATTGCTGGTGGGTGTTGTTGAGGAGAACAAGGAGAATGCAAAGGGGTGCGGAATAATGTCACATCACATCGCATCGCATCGCATCACAACACATCGCATCACATCACATCGCATCACATCACATCACATCGCATCACATCACATCGCATCACATCACATCGCATCACATCACATCACATCACATCACATCGCATCGCATCACATCACAACACAACACATCGCATCGCATCGCATCGCATCGCATCCCATCACAACACATCACATCACATCACATCACATCACATCACATCACATCACATCACATCACATCACATCACATCACATCACATCACATCACATCACATCACATCACATCACATCACATCACATCACATCACATCACATCACATCACATCACATCACATCACATCACATCACATCACATCACATCACATCACATCACATCACATCACATCACATCACATCACATCACATCACATCACATCACATCACATCACATCACATCACATCACATCACATCACATCACATCACATCACATCACATCACATCACATCACATCACATCACATCACATCACATCACATCACATCACATCACATCACATCACATCACATCACATCACATCACATCACATCACATCACATCACATCACATCACATCACATCACATCACATCACATCACATCACATCACATCACATCACATCACATCACATCACATCACATCACATCACATCACATCACATCACATCACATCACATCACATCACATCACATCACATCACATCGCATCGCATCGCATCGCATCGCATCGCATCACAACACATCGCATCACATCACATCACATCACATCACATCACATCACATCACATCACATCACATCACATCACATCACATCACATCACATCACATCACATCACATCACATCACATCACATCGCATCACATCACAACACATCGCATCACATCACATCACATCACATCGCATCACATCACATCACATCACATCACATTGCATCGCGTCACGTCATGTCACGTCAGATCACATAGCATCCTGTTTCATCACATTGCATCACATCGGACACCCATCCCATCACATCCCCTCACATCACAGAACAAAACATAATCACGTCACATGACGAACTCCAATAGAGGGAGAATAATTAGCACCCATATGGCAGTTGAGAGGGAGATTCCACAAAGGGAATGCGAGGCTAAGAAGTGAGCCTAAGAAATGAAAGAAAACAAAAACTAGCTCTCATCATTCACAAGTTGGTCAAAAGGCCAAGGTTGGATAACGTCGCTGGTATGGAGCCCGTCAGATTGTTTCCAATTAGCCACCTGCATCTTGGAAGTGAGGTGCAAAACGGAAGTAAAGTCCAGAGAGGGGTTTGTGAGTATGAACGATGTCAACGGGAGTGTTGGTTGGCCCCGTCCTTGCTTTGGCGGAGCCGACCTCGTGGTCGGATGTGCAGGGGTTGCAGCCGACCTGCAGCAGTGGGCAAGGGGGCCACTGCAAGGGCGCCGAGCTGGAGGGCGCCTGGCTGGAGGGCGCCGAGCAGGAGGACGCTGTCCTGGACGCCCGGTTGGCGTCCTGGACGCTTGGACGGCGTCCTGGGAAGCTGGACGCCGACCTGGGCGTCGGCACGACTACCCGGGCGCCTGGTCGGCGTCGTGGGCGCCTGCACGGCAACCTGGAAGGCCAGACGCCGACCTAGGCGTCTGCACAGCGTCCTAGGAGCCTGGAACGCCGCCCTGGGCGTCTGCACGGCGTCTTGGGGGCCCAGACGCCGACCTGGGCGTCCTGGGGGCCCGGACGCCGACCTGGGCGTCTGATCGGCGTCCTGGGAGGCTGGACGCCGCTCTGGAGGTCTGCACGGCGTCCTGGGCGTCTGGACGCCGACCTGGGGTTAGGGATGAGCACAAGGCGAACACGAGCGTGTTCGCGTTCGCCGCGGCTCGAACAATGCCGTTCGGCGAACCGAAAACCGTTCGGTTCGCCGAACAAGTTTGGCCAGAAGTGGTGTTCGAAGTTCGCCTTGGAAGGCGAACATCTCGAACACATTGGCGAACACGAACGTGTTCGGCAGGAACACGTTCGTGTTCGCCCCAGAGGGCTTAGCATTACAAAACACATGATTTTAGGCGGGCAGGGGAACTGCGGGAAACTGGGGGAAAATATATAGGCTGGCTCTGGCTTTTGCGAGATCTAGTTAGGGATCTATATATTTTTATACCCTGCTCGCCACCTGGATTTCCCCCCCACGTAAGGCGAAATGCTCTCCCCCCTCTTGATATACGAAATTTGCGATTGCTCGCCAACCCCCCACAACACCCAACTCACGAAATATGCGAACTCTATTCCTCTCAATCCCCAACTTATGCAATTCGCAAATGCTTTCCCCAACCCCAGGA